AAGTCGTCTCCTGCTGCAATGAAGATGTGTTGTAATGGGATTCCAGGGAAACTCTTAAATGTCACAAAATCTGGAAGACTACACATGTCCTGTAAAAATATTTTTATAATTCAAACTTAAAGGATTAAAAGGCATATAGATCTCAATTGAAGAAATAAAACTGTAATGCATGATATAATCTATGTCGAAAATCCCAAGAAATACATTTAAAAACTCCTAGAATAACTGAGTATAGCAAAGTTGCACAATTTAAAATAAATATACAGAAATCAACTGTATTTCTATATACTAGCAATGAGATTTTTAAAATGCCATTTAGAATCACTCAAAAAGAACAATAAAAAGATAGAGAAAAGCCCTAGCTGGCTTGGCTCAGTAGATAAAGTGTCAGTCTGCAGACAGAAGGGTCCCAGGTTCGATTCCGGTTAAGGGCACATGCCTGGGTTGTGGGCTCAATCCCGAGTGGGGGGTGTGCAGGAGGCAGCTGATCAATGATTCCCTCTTGTCATTGATGTTTCTCTCTCTCTCTCCTTCCTTCCTCTCTGAAATCAATAAAGAAATATATATTTAAAAAAAAAGATAGAGAAAAGCTGTATTATGATGATACAGAAGTGTAAACTAAAATTTCCATTTTTTAACGTGACTTACTTTGCATCTACAGGTAAGACATAAGATTATCATATATTAACGATATTTTCTACCCCCAAAATAGTTTCAAAGTATTAAACTAGACATTTAGAGCCAATGGGTGAGGGTACTCTCCACTGGAAACTCCCAGATGCTGCAGAATGTGAGGTCAATAATCCACCCACTCCTTTCTCTGTCCAAATAAAGGTACAGGTAACGAAAGAAACTTTTCCTCTACAATAAAAGATACTCTGTGTGTTTGGAGAGGCTTTCTCTCCAATTAATAACTTTAGCTGAAAGATAAAATGCTCCATAAAGTTTTACAATTAGACTGGGAATAGGAAGCAACTACTTAGGGTAAACCAAATAAGGGACCATCATTGCTTTACATAATTATTAACCTGTAGAGCTAATGACAACTAGTATTGCATCCCTAAAGGCAACACTATTTCCTGTGTATTTTTTAACAGAATTAAAGTCATGTACATGTCACAATTTTTAATACTAAAATTATTTCCTTTCATGGCAAAAAAAAACCAGGTTAATCTGACTTGCTCCTTGGTCCCATCCTTCCTCCAGGCTCGAATGGAAAGGAATGAAGACACTTAGTATGACATACCATATTTAACAACATTTGAAAATTCTGTGGCTATACCAGGCCTTCCCAATCTCGGGAAATTAAGTCATGTATACACACGGTTTAACTTTTCAATTCCTTAAAAAAGAGTGTAAAGTTGAAGCTTGTAGGGATATAGCTCCAAGTTGCCAACGAAAATGGCACTTTCCCGCTAACATCTGTACACTGGCATCTCCCATTTGGACAGGAACAACATTCTACTCGTCAAGCATATGCACTGTACTACTACCCCTCCAGCAAAGCCATGCTGCTGTACTTAACCAAACCACAACAGTCTGTACATATCATCCAACAGGTTAAAAGAAACAAACCAACCTTTTTTCTCTTGATATGCGTGTGTCCTCCAGAAAGAACCCCACCCCTTACCAAGTCTGGACATTCACTGTCTCGGCTCCCTAAGAGTTGTACCTCACAGGAAAGTAAGGTGCGACACTCAGAGATGGTCACAATGGGCTCAGATGGCCTCTCTGAGTCATGACAGCCTTTCCAACTTTTCCCTGCTGTTTGAAAGGGAGCCTTAAAATTTAAAAGGTTGTAGGGGTCATCCGAATTACAGAAAGAGTTCCACAGTTTGAGGCTCTCTGCTTCATCTGCACTAGATTCCCAGTCATCTTCCTCCCCAGAATTACTGTCAGGAGACTCAGCAAGGAGGCTTCCAGTCTGGGGAGAACTCTCCAGATCAGACTTGTCAGACAGATCCTTCTCTGAGTCAGAGGGGTCTCCGGGCGCAGTTCGGGCAGCAGTCTGGATCGCTGCTGTAAAGTTTTGGGGATTGTAAGGATCTACACTGTGGAAAGAGTTCCAAAGGTGAAGCCCTTCAGAGTCTTGCTCCAGGTCTGATTCTGAGAGCGAGCCATCGCTGTCAAAGCCGTCATCCTCAGCGTCCTCATCCCAATCCTCACCTTCTGAGTCCGAACTTGCTTCCAGGTCGCTGGCCGCACCTCCCAAAATGTAATCTATCAACCGGTTGGTACAGGCCGGCCTGGCAGACACGGGAACGTCATCGTCTATGTCTGAGAAGTCAGCTACACTTAGGCGGTCCTCCTCGGGCTCTCTTTCCGTAGGGGCCTCGCCAGACAGACAGCTTTCCACTGGGTCCTGCCTTTCCCCAGCAAGAGGAGCCTGTTTGGTCAACTCTTGTCTTTCTCCCGTGGGCTCCTCCTGGGCGGTTCCGGGACTGGCTCCGGCAGGAGCAACGCCTCCGCAGGGCTTCGGGTCCATCCGGAGGAGGCTGTGTTCCTCCTCCAGGCTATGGTAGCCATGATCTTGGTCAGGGGTGGGTAACGCCTGCCCCTTGCTAGGCTGCTGAAGGAATTCCAGCCGTTTCATGCGAACGTGGTGAATCTCGGGCAGGCCTTCCCTCGAGCGAGGCGGGCATCCCTGCCAGGAGGAGCAGGCGACCTCGGCCTTCAGTGGCCGGGGAGGAGAACAGTCCTCCGGGGGACAGCTGCTCCCCGGGCCGGTTACCGGCTGCAAGTCCACGAGCTCGCCACGGGCGAGGAAGTTCTGACAGCTACGCTCCAGCGGGGAAAGGCAGTCCAGATAAGAGGGGCTCAGCAAATAGGACACGGCGCTGAAACTGCTGACGCGGTGAACGTGCTGCGGCCCGGAGGGCGCCAGGCCAAGGTCCCGGCCAGATAACAGCCGGGCGGTCAGGCCGCCCTGCAACAGCTCCACGCGCCACAGCTGCTGCTCCAGCAGAGCCGCGTGGGGCGCGGGGTGCGAGGCCCGGCCCTGGGCTTTCGGGTCGGGGGGCGAGCACTCCCAGTGCATCCCCTCCTCCAGCAGGTCCAGAAAATCGGCGGCGGCGGGGT